ATGAGGGCTAGTATCTAACTGTGGACCTTTTCGAGTCTCATTATGAACCGGATATGACAATGTGGCAGACAATTCAGCGTGACCTAATTATTCACATTTCACCGGTTCACGTTTCCTGACCAATTCATAGTAGGATATGCTAATTAGGTATGTAAATACATTGAACATGAGCGATATGAAACAATTTTATTAACTTAAAAAGTAAAAATAGTGAACAATTTAACGCACCACTTGTTATCACCAATTAACCGACGCCAATAGAGTAGTCATGAAAAACATTATAGACGTCACAGATTCCACTGCAGAGTTATTTAGTAAGCATTAGGTATTCGCATTGACGTATTACTACGAAAATATAGGGAACACCGCACCGATCAATTGCGGCGCTACAACCGCAAATTAATTGATCACTCGCTGGAGCACGGTTTCGTTGGACTAATTATATTGTCATCGCCTTATAACCCAGATAACATGTTGCGTGTTTTGATTTAAAAAATAAGTTATCTAAATTCATAAAATATGCCATGGTATATAAAAAGATAAATCCAAAGGACTTCTGTCTAAATTGGAATTTAAAAATCATAAACCATAAAAAAAAACTGGTATAATTTGGATGCTTTTCTGGATATATGGCTTTTTTGTACCTACCGTTAATTCGTTCCAGCAGAATAATTTCCTGTTTACACATGAAGTGACATCACACATTTGCATTTGGTAGGGTGTATATTTCACATTCAAGGTAAAACATGATGATATGTACTATATTTCTCGTCTAAAAATATTTTACATACTACCCGTTGCAACATTGTGCGTGTTACATATACATATGTATATGTTGTTCTCTTTCTTTAAGCTTGTAACTTGTCCCTAATATTAGATTACAAGTATAAAAAAATAAATACTCCGTCGTGTGGAAATCGATTTTCCTTCATTAATACATCATGTGCAACAACAGTCGGGTAAGTAGGTCAATGTTCGTATTCCAAGTAAAATATTTGATTTTTACGACGCTTCGGTAGATATAGGTGTACCCGAAAACAAATCACGCCGTGGTTTGTTTTCGGGTACCTATATCTAGATTTGATGCGTGGTACGGTAGTAAGTATATACTTTGTTATTTCAATAGACAAATATAAAGTAATAGCAGGAGAAACCAAGATGATCTTACTTTTAAAAAAACATAAAGATGACTACAAAGATATGTTAAGAAACAAATATCACGTATACCCATTCATTTGTGACCCAGTGTACAGTAATAAATTGAAACCCTGTAGCAATAGTTGGAGGCGGTGGAGAGAACTAGTTTATTATGTTTGTATTATTGGTATTGTGTGGGCACAAAAGCTGTAATGTGTGTCGCCACTCGCCAGCCACTAACTACCTTACTGCAGTTTGCAAATTAATCAAAAATAAATAATTAAATATAATCGAGCCGATATTGTTCGAGCTCGTATACTTAATCCTCACTACTAAATACTCGGTTATTTAATATTTCTGTAAGTTTAATAAATAGGTACCTACTAATATTATAAATAGAGATGGCGGATATTGTTACGAGTTAATTAAATTGAACAAACTACAGCGATTTCAAAAATTCTTTCACTGTTTATAAGTATATTAGTCCAGAGTAAACATACATAGGCTCTGTTAATATATATAAAACTCAACATTATGAATACCCAAGCGAAGCCGGGAGAGGCCACTGCTCATAAAGTAAAAAAGTATTTTATTGCATAATAATAATAATACTGTTTAAATCGTAGTTTTAGTCATACTGCAATATATAGCTCACTAAAGCAAAACATTTGATTATAAAGGAAAAACATAGGAATATTAATTTACATATTATATTGCTTTTTGGATTAAAACTCTAATGTGCGTTCTCAGAAGACTTCAAAGGAAAGTTTCACAACAATTTGATTAATAGTTTAGGAAGGCTAGATGGCTAAAATACAAACATACGTTTTTATTTACGCAAATGTAAAAGTGAGTTTGTTTGTTACCTTGAAGGGCGTCCTCTAAATATAATGAAAATAAATCAATGCTTCTGAATACCTATCTACATAATATGTTTTATACGTTTAAAACAGTCGGACGTGTAACGATTGTGTTTGAATTTTTTTAACTGTTTTACGGTTATATAATTTTATTTACCATCAAGTCAAATTTACAAGATTATAAAACTGTATTATGAATATTAAAAAAATATAACTCAATGCAGCAAGTCAAAATATTTTCATCATCTCTAGAGGAAACTACGTAGGCTGTTGTTATTATTAGGATCGTATTAGCTATTATCACGTAATACTCGAATTTGTGCCATAATGGTCAAACTATCACAAGTAAGTACATAATTTATAACCAATGTACCAGTGTGTAAAAGCTCTGTGTATGTAATCTACATTCATTTACACACACATATATTTAAATTTTATACTCTCTAGTAATATCCAAATATGGCATAATATGTAGGTCTGTCTGATCTGATCATTAATCCTAAACCGTTACTTTATGTAATTGGATAAGTATTGGGTAAAGGTAAACAGGCTGACGCACCTAGCATTATGGCAACTATTAATGGCAACCGTCGCCTATATACATAAATAGCACGACGGATATCACGTTATCATGTAACAGCTCATGGTTTGCCATTCCAAAAGACTAAGAGGTTATTCCTCCCTAATTCCCTACCCTATAATTCCACTGGCATCTCTGTCTCCTAAAGGTACCCACGAAGATCCACTCAGACGACTCACTTTGCACAAAATCTACCTATGTTTGAGCTATTATACAATACCTATGATATTCTAAAATTTAATAATAATTATATTATGATTGCAAATAATACTTTCACCGATTGATAAATTTATATATAGCTTTGGTCCCATGTATATAATAATGTAATACGCTCTATTTTCACAATATTGCAAGTTACCACAGATATATTATTATCATCAATATTACTAGTTACTCATATACATAGACGTAAAATAATATTCTCATTTCCTCACCGCAGTCCCCCAGTCTCGATAGTAAATTAATCACGTGCCGCAATGTTGATTATCACGTTTCTTTCTAGTTTTGAATACTCTACGAAGTTACTTGAAACTTCGTTAGTCATGCGTGACTAAACTAACTAGGTACTTAACTAGTTAATTAATACGCAAATGATCAATAGTATATCGACTAACGTACAAACGACCTTATCTACCATAGAAATTTGTGGTTTGAATTTGGGCATTGCATTGTCTATAACAACAAGTAATAAGAGTTCAAATCTGTCCTTTGATTTGATAAAGGTAAACTGATTATACAATAAATACACTTAATGAAAGCTATTGAGGTTAGTCACAATTTATGAACAAACAACGCTCTATAAAAGATTTTCTTGACAGATGATATTTTCTATTTATATTCCGAATTGATTGTAAATATGTTTGTATGTTTGTTGTAACAGCACGCATGAACGGCTGGATTGCGTTAAATGAAATTTAAAACAAATTGTTAATTATTTAAATTTATACGTTGCCTGTTATTTGTATTAGTAATGAATTGTCGACAAACTGTTCGTTTGAATATTACATTGCCTCCGTTACTATTATTGCCTTTCCTAAATAAATGAGAACAGGATAGAATAGAAAATTCTTTATTCAAATAAACTTTATTTAACCACTTTTGAATAGTCATCACTACTCATCACATTTTTTTAATTTACCGCTCATTCATTCTCTTCACAAGAAGAATGAGCAAGAAACTTGCGTGAGGCGGAATTATTCTAAGGTTTTCACAGAAGAATAACATTTTAGCCTTTTGGAGTGGCTACGCATGTGGGATACCACAGTATAACGATGATGCCGTGATCTCCATAGTGCTCTTCATGTATATAAGCGACGGTTGCCGCTTACCAACGGCTGGTCAGTCAGTCCAGATTTATTCGATTAGGGCTTTTCTACTATAAGATTCCCGGAAACAATGAGACTTTCATATATGATAGTATTTAAAAGAATTCTGATAGACATATTAAAATAGCATTCTTTTCAATTTTATAATCAACAAAGCGATTTTAGCTGGCGTAGGAGAATGCACCGGTTATGAAAGTTTGTACAATTTTTCTAGACAATAACGAGTGGGTGTATATGAATAAAATCACATAAGTATACTAAATAAATAAGTTTCATATTCCAGCAATAGCTTAGATCTTTAGCTGCCATCCCAACTTCGCCAAGGTTTAAAAATGTACACAATAACATGTATAATTTATATAACATCCATTTGATAAAATGTACCTTACATACACTACATGGAATACTTTTTTTAAATAAGTGGTGGTTTTAGAGAATGGTACTAAAAAACCAAAAAATTCACTCTATAATATTAGAGTACAGACCTACACTATTGACGTAAGTTGAAGATTTGTATAGTTGCAGTTATATAAAGTACACATTTTGATTTTCCAATTTTATTTAGTAACGATAAAATATTATAGTCGCATATTACAATATTATAGTGAAGTTTAACTATCCGTAGAACCTTGTATGTAGTTTTAACAGTCGCTGCATTAATATGAAACTGGTTTCTTCAATTTCGATAAAATCTTTTTTAATATTATCGTCAATAAACGAGAATCCGTCCCTGACATTATAAGAAGTCTGGTCATTGCGTGACGTAACTATTCAAACCAGAGCTGAAGGAAATGCTCACTATTTGTTATATATACAAGTAAAAGCTGGGCGGCTAACTATCCACATTAGTAACCTAATGTGGAATTAAATTCAATAAAAAAAAGTTATAGTAGTTACAACTCTTACAAAGACATTGCATTGCACAAGTCAAACTTCTTTGAGGAAAAGGGTTGAGGTGCTTTGATTTAAAAACTTTATTGTAAAATAAAATATATTACGCTATCTTCTTCAATTATTGTAAAGATTATTTCTTGATTAATTTATACGACATCCTTCAATAGTGTTTACAAACTAATTTTATATTTGTATTGTACACAGGTTTGGCGCTGCTCATTGCAGGTGGGGTGCAGTATTCTAATACACCGGAACCAATTACTCCAGATACTGCTGAAAGTGGTGTGGGGACCCTAATTGCAGGCGGTGTGATCCTCTGCCTTGGACTTCTGTTTACTGGTTAGTGACTACTGTGTAATTAGGAATTTAGAGGAATAATAATTTTACTTGAAACATCAGTCATACTTGCATCACAATAATGATGATTAACACCCGTTTGCAAAGAAAGTGTATTTTAATAAAATGTAATTATTGTATACAATATTTATATTTGAGTACTATTTTTTCTTAAATACTTACTATTTTAAAATTAAGAATCCAAGAACTTATCTAACATCGTGGGTTGAAATATGCTTTTTATTTAATAAGTTATATTAAACAATATTATATTCTATTAAAATTCAAATTAATTGTTGCAACACACAAACGGACAGTTTTTGTTATAATTTGACTATTAGATATATACGTAAATATAAAAATTATCCTTCTCTTTCACTTTTACTGTTAATCACTATAGAATTAATACAAATAAGTATGAAGTCCCTGACCTCTGATCTGGGGTTCAGATTTAAAATACCTATCTTTCAGGAAATAATTTATATGTAATTCATATGTTATTCATAATTAATGCGATAGTCGCAGTTTACTGAATACAACAATTGAAATTGTGAGATAAGTAAACTCAGCTTACGAAATGTAAATTACGATAAATAAAATAATATATTTAGAGGATAGGTACACCTCAACATCGTAGTGACACAGTCGTGAAACTTACTCGTGTTAGCGAGACTCCGGAAACTCATTAAAATGCCTATAAACAACTCTTTAATGTGCATGTTATTTCCGTCTTCGATTTTCGGTTCAACAATTTAAGATAAATTGGAGTACTCGAAATTGAATGATACGTATGTTTACTATATATATTTATATAAATTGCTCATCAGCGTAGTCACAATTTATTCAGCATCATAGTAAAGAGTAAAAATATAGAAAACTTAAAAACTAAAATTTTGCTATGAGCTGAAAGGGCCTCCACTCAGCTGGCGCCGAAGTGTGTCACTACACCGCTGTTTTTCAGTGAAGCCACTTGAAAAAAAAAGAACGTATATCGTCTATATGTTCTGATCCTCGCATTGATAACAGTGTTAATCCATTTACATTAATTACTCTGTAACTCAAATTTCAAATGGGAAGTGGGATTGTTAGTACTAATAAACTCTTAACCTTGTTAGGTTAAGAGTTGGCTAATAAAGTGCTATGTTAGGTTGACCTCCACACGGTTTACATTGGAAACGATTGTGTCAAATTCCACGTGTGAATTTGTCATAACAGACTAACTGACCTGATCTCATTCTCATCCTATCATCCTCCACTGGTGCCCCACCAGCGTGCCATGCATCCTTTAAAAAAATGAAAATCACCTCTCTTATAGAAAGTAATGACGGTGCCCGTAATTTACAATTATTGAAAATATTACAGGTGTGGGTGGATGGGCTTGGTCGTCTCGATGGGGAGGTGGCAAGGAAGCTCCGACCAGTGGAGCCGCAGCTCTCACAGCTCTGAATCCCTCAACGGACCCACTGGTTGCAGCTCAGTATGCACCAGTACGGGACGCCCCGCCCGCTCCCGACGACGAGACACGCAACCTCATGGACAATAAAGAATGGTGTGTACTAGAATCATTGATATGTTATTATAGCTACTACATGTCGCAGTCAAAGAGACAAATGGAAACGACATGTTTGTTGTGGGGACTTATTTTGATTTAATATACGTATTTCAACATAGTTACTCGTTACGATTTGAAATGTTTAAATTTCGAGAAATATAGGAATATTTGAAGAACTTTCTTCTCAATACTTATATTCGGACAATAACCTTATTGGAGTTTTGTAGTTTGTGATGCATTATATGTACGTTTATGAGTGTTTAGTTTCAAACAAAATACAGAAGATAGTACAATGGATCAAATATACAAAATAATGTCTGTGGCTAGAATTTACATTAATAGAAATTTACCAATCATCGTATGGAAAAGGCTTGAACTTCGTTTTATATCTAGACTACAGTTTATCTCGTGATTTTAATTCACATTAGTCATATTTTCCTTAAAATAAAATAGAACTAGGAAACATTTATTAAAAAGCTGTTACCGAACAAATACCGAAGATTTTATTAATAGGTACTATTACTACTGTTTTTCATATTAAAAGGCTACGCTAGTTTCTTGTATGAAAGATGAAACATTTTTGTGTATGTTTGTTTTATCCCATTATAGCCATTTTAAATTTAACCCATTATAGTTTTGTTAGGTTTAAAGTACAATTATTTTATTTGACGTTTCTAGTCACTTAGAAACCACAAGTGCCATATGGTGTATTGTTTAAAATAAGTAATACATTAATTATGTGCCTATTGTGTACGGTACCCGCACAGCTGTTCGACGGCTAAAGTTCACGAGGGCCATTGTCTCCGTTTGTTCACCAACGTTGGGTTATACAAGTTATCAGTAACAGTAACTAACTTCGTCGCCATCGAACAAAAATCGAAGAAAAACTGTAGTCTTCAAGACTACAGTTTTTCTTGGATTTTTAATCAGTACGGTACGGTAACGGTATAAATAAAATGCATAATAAAAACTTGTTATAAAAAGGCAAATACTATTGAATTATTAGTCATTTCTTGGTAGGTTGTAAGTACTGAACAGTACTTCAACATTGTATTCTTTTTAAAAAAATAGGACACTGAAATAAATATACTAGAATAACGAACTATCACAATTATTATTATATTATTTTCATCCCCGTTATAACTCTTGGGTATTACAAGGAAATGGTGCGAAAAGCGAGACGCGAGGTCACTGTTATTCCTTACATAGTGTCCATTTACATATTTTTTTCGTTGTCCTCCTCAAAAATAAACACATTTTATATTTTCGTTTTATCTTTTAATACATAATTGCCATTTATAATTAGCTTACGCGATCCTCTTCAATACTTGAGGCACTTTTATATGTTAGAGCCTGTGTAGGTACGGATATGAGCGACACAAATCGTTTGTTAAATGTTTAAAATTGCAATCTTAAATCCGTGACTAATTTTGGTTTGTAGCTGTCACACATTTAATATACATAACTTTCGTATACATATGTAATGTTTTTATTTAGTATAGTTTATATTGCCACACACGAAACGGACTTAGGTACAAAACAAAATTAAGCAACGTCTAATTATTTTTTTAATTTCTTATATAATCTTATGCTTTTAATTTTCAGTTGGGATGGCAGTACATACTAAAGTACTGCCATCCCAACTGAAAATTAAATATATCGGTTATATGGCACTAGTATGGCAAACGAGCTAACGACTCACCTGATGACTTCCGACTCGACGTGAAATATGTGGTACGCCATTGCAATTTCTCAAAACTCAAGCATTATAGCCATAATACCCAGAAATTCGACGCGGTTCCCCCTGGAAACCATAGTGATAAATTTCTGATTAATTTGTCACAGCCAACGACTTCGTAGAAAGTCTATCTCAGTAAGATATACATAGAATACTATGTCTTTTTCAGTTTAAGCAGTGCTGAAGAAAGCGACAAAATGCTGGACGGCCGACCTTCCGTGGCGTAAGCAGTAACTGTCAGGCAGCGATAAAATTTTATATTTGAGCTTAGGCTAGTCCTATAAAGATGTCCCCCTAAATTTTAAAATGTTGTAATGGTAGTATTGGTACTTTAAATATTTAGATGATAAGGATAATACTGAATTTATTTTTATGATATTTAATTGGATAGGACATATTATAGTTCTAATATTTGTAGACAGTGGGGTCGATCTGAGATCTGTAAATGACATCTCAAAATTTATGTCAAATACAATATTTCTACAAAATATTAAATAAAGAAACTCACATTTTCACTTGTAACATCTTCACTGTACTATAGAGTTTATATTTATATAGTTGCGTTTTGCAATCGATCCCAGTGTTTACCATATTAAGCTTGTACATTTTTTGGTACAAACATTGAATTACTTCAGGTAAATCAATGAATTTGAGCAGTGTTGCGGAGTATTGACGTAAGTACGGTTATCATTTTGCTCTGGCATTTTCTTCTATTGTATTGCTCTCCAAATCGGCTAATAATTTTTTTTAACAAAAAAGTTATCACTAAGCTGTGCATCTCTACCTAGTAAAATACGCTAGGTATAATTTTTTTAAGTACTTACTATTTTTAAGTATTTAGAATAAAAAATATTATAATAATTACATTAATGTCGTTGGTGTCCTACCGAAACTAGGTTTTAGAATAAAACAGTTCTGTTTTTGTGGTAGTCTCTCGTACAATTATATTTATATTAGATTGCTACCGCTTGTCAATTATCAAATTATAAATATCGAAAGTCAATAAAAAAATTAAATTCCAATAAATATCTTGATATGGCATGCGACATATAAAATCTTAACGTATAGGATGAACTAAGACTATAGTACAGAAATTCAACTGTTATTTATATAAATTTTTTGGCCAATTAAATATTAATTATACTACTGATTAATATTATTGATTTTTGAATGACATAAGCACTGTAGTCAAGAACATGGTTTCAAACGTTCTACAAATTTACTGCTGTTTCCAAAACTAAATAATTTGTGATAAAACTAACCGAAACAGTAATTTCGGTAGGACACTAATTATCGTGTATAATGTTCGTAACATTTTTTACACCTTAGGTGTCGTAAACCCTATGTTGCTACATTGTTAATGAAGCCTTGGTATTTGTCTTAATAATACAAATAATTAGTAAAAGACAAGTGGCCAAATTATCGTCCAGATCTAGAAGTAAATGTGAATATTACTTATTTATTGTAATCTCTATAGGATATCAAATAACGCAATCTCAAAGTATCTACTTTATACTAAATGTTTTGTATACGTAGCGTCAAAATAGTAATATTTTATTTCTATCAGATTAATATATTTTGGATTAATACGTTAAAATATATGATGAAAATATTAATTACATCTTTGAATTTAACTAATTCAAAGTTATAATTGAACATGGTAATCACTTAACTGTTGGAATTTTTATTTATACAAGTTAAAACGGGTTTTACTAAACTCCGAACTATGATTAAATAATCTATCAATATACACCCTCATTACCAGTATAACCAATGGTTTGTTTTAATGTAATAGACCAAGATCTTTATTATCTACATAATAACTATAATAACTTTTGTTGTAGTTTTGATTTGTGTAAAGCATTTAAAATTTTATTTATAAGTTTAGTCGAATATAATTTTTCATGTAAATCGCCATAAATTTTGAATGTTTCATACAATTTTTCTTTGACACCGTCCTTGTAGGTTAAGGTTGATGGTAAGTAAGTAGAGAATAAGCGTAGAGTTGTAGACACCACTATAATTTGTTCGTTTCAGGTTTCAGATTAAAAATGGTATGGATTTTGGTGACATCTGACTATGTTATGTTCAGTTATTCAGCAGTATTTATTGTAGACATAGCTCTCTCATAAAATGGAAATGGCTTTCAGAACAAAACATTTCTCAATTGTTCTGATATATGACAATAATGGCAATTCTTTATTCAGATGTAGTTCTAATTTGAAATGCTAAAAATTGTAGTGCAGTTACAGTTGTTTGAACTCGAATTAGTGGTAATCTCATCCATCAATCTCAAGTTTACATGAAATTTCAAATTGTGTAAGAATTCAGATACTACTTTTTTCTAAGTATAAATATTTCTCTATATATTTATGGGAATGCATAAAACAAAAAAAGAAAATAATGAATACAAAGAGAAAATATATATATATAAATTATACAACTATAAGATTAATATTATTTATTATGAGCGTATTCGATGTGTTATTATTAATATAGTTTATATATTTTCTATTTTATTATGTTGTCTATTTTATTTTACAATCTACATCTAAACGTTTATACAATTGTTAGTGATAATGACAGATAAAATGTGTGCAAACACACGTTCTAACTGTATAAGTTCGATGAATTTACTCAACATAAGTTTTTTTCAGGTACATTGTAATTTTTATTTATTCAAATATGTGTGATATTATTTTTGTTGCGGTAATAAAATAGAAGTTTTAGTATTAGTAAAAATAAATTGTCATCCTTCTCTCATTATTGTTTTATTAAATAGTAATTATTCTGATAATTTCGAAGTGTGAAGGTTGAACTCTTTCATTTGTCATTAAATGGATGCAACAGCCCCTCGTGTTCCTAAATAACCACCACGAATAACAAGTGTACCACTTCACGATTACGTGACTCTCCCTGTGTGGCTTCAATGTCTGTAGTTAATTAGGTTTTAACAAGAGTAATTTCATGGTAAATAAGGTATCTAGACACGCGGTAGCGTGTCAAGCCGAGTTTCAAGTAAGAGAACTGGCGAGCAGCACCGTGTGTATATTTACACGAACCATTTGGAACTTTTGTATAACTCAAAAACTCTTTCACATAAACCTGTCAAATTTGGTTCATATATTGAGACTTGCGAGGTAAATATGTGTTCCAAATTTCATAAACATATCTCGAACGGTTATTTAGATATTAACGTCCAAATATCGTCATTTTTATCACTGATCAACTATAGATCAAAATTATAACCCACTTCCAGATGACCTAGGTAGTTCAAATTTGGCATGCAGATAGGTAATTAGGTGAATATAAAGGAAAAAATCTGAAACTGGTAAATTGTTATCATTTTATCATAATTTTTCACTTTAATTGATTCTATTTCAACTTATATTGGACGAATACTAAAATTCTATGAAAACGTCGATAGCTACCAATTAACTTTGATCCATCATTCAAGATCATCTTGTATAATATTATATGAAAAAAAATTTACGTTCACCCCTTCACATAATGGATAAAGCAAACTTCAAATATTTATTATAAAATAATAATTTAGATTCTGTCTAAAATATACTCGTACTTATTTTAGTCGAAATATCATATACCCCGAAAACATACGAAAATACAGTAGTTTATCAAAAATAATTTGGTATTAATTAACTTATAAATAAGTACGTCGTATAATTTGTGTACAAAAAGTAATGATATCCCATCAAAAACATAAATGTGAAATGATAGCCGAGTTTAATATTATGATATATGCCTTGATTGTTGACTTCTACGACAAAAGAGATGAGATCTAAATGGGTGCCAAGTTCAATGGTCTGTCCTGAAATGTATTTATAACAATATAAAATATAATTTCTTCTTATAACTTAGGATAATATACTGTAGCCTAAGGTCTGACTTGGCTACTTTTCATATACCAATGTGTACTGTACGCGAGTAAAAGTAGCTAATAATTCTAGTGCAAAGAGCTTGTTAACATGGATTACTGATTTGTAAGGTCGGTACTAATAATATTGTTACATTCAAAATTATTACTTATGGAAAAAAATTAGAGGCGTTATAATATAAAGCATTGTTTATTATAAAATAACAAGATCATGATACTGCCCGTATTTCTACGAAACAAATTACAAATTCCGTTATAAATATAAGTGTAAATAAACTTAAAATTAGTCAGTCTCTGTTGATGCGCCGCCACCAAGGTACACCGGTGACGTCCTCTTCAGCGCAAATATTCACTGTCGGTCTGCAAAAATTAAAGAAATTCTATTTTCTTAACGAAGGGTTCAACGGGTGTTAGAGGTTTAAAAGGGATTAATGACATTCACAAATCTACAGATTATATACACATCATTTAACAATTGTAATCGAACTGTACAAATTAACTACAACTTGAAATGATTCATATCCTAAAATAGTAAACCTATTGTTTTTATTAGGACTCAACACATGAACACGTAGCGTCAGCACCATTGCTGGCATGAGATTGTGTCTTCTCGTCGTTTGAAGTTTTAGAATAGCTGTATCGGTAATTCTCGCCTTTGAGACTATAAAAAGATCGAAACCAAGAGATAAGGCTAATAAAACTAACACACTACAATAAGTTCAGGCCTATTATTATTTTAGTCTACCTAATTTCGATAAAAAGTGGCAAAATAAAGTGCATAATATAAATCCTATGTCTCATTATTGATGAAAAAACTACTACCTGTATACTTGACTATGAGGTAATGTGGACGCCAATAAAGGGCAAGATGTGGCTGGTGGCTCCTGGAAATGTAAAAGAAACTATGCAAGTAATTTTTAGACAACATAATAATTTCGAATAATATTATAAATGTGAACTCTAGCATATAGAAGTTTTTGGGACAGTGAAATAAAAATTGCTTTATTTCCGGTCTATCATTACATTTACTAAAAATTAAGTTATTTTTTAACATGTAAAAATATATAGAAGCTGCAGAAGATTTGGATTCAATCTAGCATTTATGATTTGCTTGCCTACTTCACATACTATGCTATATTGTAGACAACCCTATTAAAACCCACAATTTTAGTACAGTAATAATATTAATTATAACTTTTACTATACTGGAGTATATAGATTCTGACAGAATTGACACAAATTGTATAATGAAAGCACTCACTAAATTAAAAAGTTACATATTTATCAGACAATTGAAGTTTTCAACTGCATTTACCTGAATGGATTGCATAGGTATATGCATATTAGCCCGAACTTTACGTTGCTTTATTTCTCGACGTACGCAGCATTGTACACCAAGCAATACAGCACATACACAAGATGAGAGGCATCCTGAAATTATTAAATATTCTCATAAAATATATCATACTTTTATTTGTTAAATATAATGTGCACTTGCCATAAACAAAAAAGTGCATAAGTATTGTGGATGACCAATTAATAGAATAAAAGAGATTAGATCTACTTCTAATAACATTGTAATCATCTAATCTGCTAAATTGATATTAGTAGAAATATGAGTATTCTTATTATCATGAAGTCAACTTAATATTAAGAAATCCCTTCAAATATTTCATAAATATGTATATGGATTCACATGCCTCACGTTTGCTGTCACTACTTATAATAATAAAATTAATTCATAGTTAAAATATTTCATAAAATATATAATGTAAAATTTACTTTTTAATGGTATATGAGTAGAATGGTACTTTATTTATTTTTAATTAAATATTAATTAAATACTTAAATTTAGTTATCAAATTTATACTTACCAATATAAACTAAGACTCCAAGATCTCCATTTCGGTTTGTACGCCTCAATACAATACCAGCAATGCATAATGAAATCCCTGTCAATATACCTACTACAAAAATTACCTAAAATATAAATAAAATCATTTTTAAATGGATTATTGCTAAATTATTGATAGTACTTTTTAAATTATAATATAAAAAGATGATACAGTAAAAGATATCCAAATTAGTGTATAAAACTGAAAATGATTTCATCAAAATGGCATTATTGTTTAGAATTACAGTGAAAAATGTAAAAAATGCCACTATCAACTCCATGTACCCCTGATTAATCATATTGATTCTGAACTAAAATATAAAAAACATTACTAGTTGTTAAAAAGGTATTAGAAAAATTAAAAACCATTTGTATATAATATTGTAAACCAAGAAAGTTGTATGTACAGTATTTATGCAATTCTTACAAATATAACACTAAATTAAAGTTAATGTATTATTGATAATGTCTTTTAAATTATTTATTTAGCATAATTCAAGTATTAAAATATTTTAAATCTCCATGGGAATAAAGTCTCATGATAAAGTGGCCACAAGTAATGTTGTTCCCTTACATTGCAATCCATATAAACCTGCACATCCAGTTATACTGTTAAGTTAAATAAATATTAATGGGTTCAGGTAAAGAAATGAAAATTTAATCAAGAGCATTATTACCTGTAAAATATAGTAGCATACATATTCAAATCCTGGACAATGTCCTCCACAAGCCCCTATTATAGGCACTTCTGGGCTCACTGATGGCACTGGCGGTATGGGGGATCGGCTAACAGCTGTTTGTGGCTCAACATCATACAATGGAAGGGAAAATGCAGATGCACATTGTGGGAATGTGTATGTATCAGAAGCATGTTGTATTGTTTCGCCTTTCTTATATTTTCGCCAGGTGTTACCACCATAGGGTGATTGATAGACGGGGGATGGTGGTCCATAATTTCTTAAAGTTCCATTATAATACTGAGGGACCTACAATAATACAATATTTCTAAAATAATATTATCTTGATTAGAGACTTACTTCTTAACCTGTTTTAACGAATTCTTACATGATAGGGATTATCTGACGTTGAGCTATCTGTTCCAGTAACTTGGTATACTGGAACATTGATATCTTCCGCCCACGGATATTTCGCCCTTTGCTGTGCTGCTGAGGTGAATTGTTGTTCACTCCGAGGCACTACAGTGGTCTGGTAAGGGTGAACACTACGTGGCGAGAGTTGTTGCTTAAACATGATTCTATTTATTTGTTACCTACAACAAAGTGTGAACATTTCGTTAAACAGGTGCTCAAAAAATTAAACAATACTATCTTATGACTGTAGGAACATGTATAAAATTTAAACTAACCTCATTTTTAAATTTATTGTTTAGGTAACCTAGTTGTATCTAAAAATAATATAATATCATTTAACAAAATGTATCAATTGTGTATTAACTTTATAAACATTAGCAACAACAAACTAAGAGAAGAACCGAAGCCGCCATATTTGTAATTTAATGTCACACGCAAACTGTCAATGTCAGCCAATGTATTGGGAGTTTGTCTATACAATCACAGACTAACATCGAAGGACACCAAAATGAAAAGACTAGAGTAGGATGTTTGATTATTCTCGACATCAAGCTCTTACTTTCTGTCTTGTTTCTCTTTGCGAAATTTTAGTAAGAGTAAGTGCAAAAGAGTATATTTATTTAAAGTGGACTATATTACATGCTCGTACTACTATTCCACATAAGTATTTATTTTGTACAAGCCAAGCATAGAGTACAATTCATAGTAATGAAAGCAAGCAAAAGTCAAAACCATTTTGTTAGAACGAACAGCAACCAACGTTGTGATTTATAAATTAAATTAAATTTCTTTAATTATTGTTATTAGAAATAGCTAAAGTTTTATAATGTATTAAGTTTTTTAGCAAGTATCTTTTTTTGGAAACTTATATACGTTTCCAACGTTGCTATAGATCAAATTTCCATATGAAATTAATTGTTTCATGCTTGAGAAGTCAGAAGGAAGTAAAGAAGCAACCAATGGAATGAAATTGAAAGGTTTATGTAGTGTCCAGTGTAGTCCAAACTACAAGTCATGATTGGAAAGGGAATCATGCCTGTGGACGGAGTGACAAGTGTGCTCGAAGAAACCGACAGGACGGGTCCAGTTGCCAGTAACTTTTGCAGAGATTTCATACGTGGGTGTTGTAGTCGTGATAATTGTAGATTCATACACGAAATTCCACCCACAGCTTGTCTAAAGGAGCTATTCAGATTTTGTCATGACTTCCAAAATAAAGGTTGCTACAGAAATAACTGCAAGTTCATTCATAGTACTGTTGAGGAGGAGGAGAATTTCTATAGCAGTGGTGTACTCCCTCGGGATTCTCGTAGTGTACCTGTGTGCCAAGCTTTCATACATGGATCTTGCACCAATCAAGACTGCAAACTATTCCATCCACCCGATGTGGGTGGCAAAGAAGTAATGCCAGTACTTATGGTTCCAGGACCAACATATAATCGTCCATTGCTACCAGTGAGGGATGATGATTCACCACCTGAGGCTAAGTTTAGAAGATTTGCTTATGAAAATACTATTGACAAACAAATACTAAATACAACAAATATATGTCGAAATTGTGAGACTTTGGACCATAAGGTTAAATTACTGCATGATAATATCAGTGTACTGTTAAAAAAAGTGGCAGAATTGACAGAGAAAAATGTACAATTAACATCAATGAATGAATTTTTGTTGGAACAGACAGCATCAATAAGAAGTGAACAATCTTGTGTTATTACATCACGACATGGCACTTCTGCTCCTGTATCTCTTGCTACTGTGAGTGTGACACCAGTTGTAAGCCTTGCTGGAGCTCTTCCAACATTGGTCCCTGCAGCAGCCACTCCCAATCTAGCATTAGCACCAGCTGCCTCTCGTGCCCAGCTATTAACACCAGCTCCTCAGATACTTACAGTGAGTACTACTCAACAGCTTGTTGGGAATTCTGGAGCTCTGATAGTCACTAGTGCTGGTGCCCAACAGTTAATGCAAGTTAGTGACTCTGGCACTCTAATGGGAGGTGGGCAAACTGTGGTGGTAACACCTGCACAATTAACACTAGCACCACCTGCTCAGCAGTTGATGAGTAATTCACAGACAACTGTACAACAGTTAGTACAACAGTCAGCTTTACAATCTCAAGTAGTCTCTCAACACCAGGCACCGCAGTTTGCAGCTGCACAGCAGTCAGTACAACATCTTGCTGCAGCACAGCAGTCTGCTCAGCATCTAGCTGCAGCACAACAGTCTGCTCAGCATTTGGCAGCCCAACAATCTGCACAACACTTGGCTGCACAGCAGTCAGCCCAACATTTGGCAGTACAGCAGTCAGCACAACATCTGGCTGCACAACAGTCAGCTCAACATTTGGCAGCACAACAATCTGCGCAACATTTGGCTGCACAACAGTCTGCCCAGCACTTGGCTGCACAACAATCAGCACAGCATTTAGCAGCGCAACAGTCTGCCCAGCACTTGGCAGCTCAACAGTCAGCACAGCACTTAGCTGCTGCTCAGCAATCGGCACAACAGTTGGCAGCTGCAGCACAGCAGTCAGCCCAACAAATAGTTGCTCAGCAGTCAGCCCAGCAACTTGCTGCTCAACAATCTGCACAGCAACAGCTAGTGCCATCTGCCCAACACTTGGTCCATCAGACATCTACTCAACAGTTAACTATATCCACTGCTAGTCAGCCTATGGCACTGCCAAATTCACAAGCACAGCCAATAACATTCCCAATAATATCCCAAAGTATACTGCCTCACTAAAATCTGGATTTTATTCAAGTGTTAACAAGTGATGTATATGAAGAGTGGAATAGTAGATAAACATTCATGTATCTCTTATTAGTAAAGATAACATGTATGCCTATGACTACCTATAATAGCAAGTGTGTGATTTCATTTTCAGTTTATTTAGCAACAGATACTGTTTTAGCCAAAAATATAGACATCTGAATTATATATGGTAGTTGATTGATCAGTATTTTTATGGTTAAGATGTTTGTCCACTTATTTTTGTAATATTTGAATTCAACAAAATATTTTTATCTGCAACTTTTTTAAACATTGTCATATTACAATTAATGCAATTTTAAATATTATAATAGTGGTTTTACCTGCATTAAATATATCAAAATAAAATATAGCCTATGTAGCATTCTGATGCATAAGCTATATTACTGTAAAGTTTTATTAAAATCTGCTTAGTAGTTTTAGTGTGAAAGAGTAATAAACATCCCATACTTAAAAACTTTATAAATGTGAGATGTATTTAATTAGTGTTGTTATTTTTAAGAACACATTTCAAAACTGGCATAAATATGTATTGTTTAGTATAATTATAAACTTTGTAATGTAATTAAGCTAAACTTTATAGCTGAGGGGAATTAAGAGTAATTTATTAACTTAGGTATAACTTAACAGTTTCTAACTTATTGGGATTCACTCTAAATTACTTTTATTTTTTTACTAATAATAAGCTGTTATTGCTGCTACTATCCCTGAGTATGTACCTACTAATAATATATTATGTTAATTTGGCCAATATTTTATGTTAATTTCCACATACTTAAAAGCTATCATGTAAATGATTTTCTTTTTTAAAGTAGTTAAATTCACTGTATTGTACTTATCTGTTAAGCGATTACTTTGCTTATGAATCTGCTCTTGGTGTTAACTATCCTGTTTTATATTTGATAAGTTTTATTTCTGTGTTGGTTCCATATTATGTTACGATTGTAATTGCTTTTTATGGAACAATATGTTATATTTTGTATACACTTTTGTGCCTTGTCACAGTAATAGTTTTATGTAAAAATATTCTCGAGTTGTCACTATCACTGTGATAAAGTACTAACAAGCATTTGTTTGCCTCCGCCATTATTTTTTTTCTTTTCGATCTGTACTACACTATAATGTTAATATTGTCAGATGGTATCGTTGTGAGATCGTTACATTGTGTTCTGTATTATCTTAACTACAAACTTAGAGGAGGTGGGGCATTAATTTTGTGAAGTTTTTTTATTTATTGTCTCCCTCTCTCTTTTGGTGAGATAAGTTAAGACTTCGTACGTAAGATTTTACTTTGCGTTTGGATTTGTTGTCGTGTACGTCCTCTTTTATTATTTGCCCTATTTTATTAATAATTTTGTAATACAAAATTGTATTAATTATTATATTTGTAATATGTACATTGACCATTTCAGTCTTAAATGAGATTTGGTGAACATTTGCTGGGCTACTAATTACGTAAGCTCTAAACGGGGAGAGAGAAAGAGGGGATCATCATTTTATATTATTAATAGACACGTTTCCTCATCCGATATCAAACATAAAGTTTGATAGAAAATAATAATTTGTAACATTAAGTTGTAATAGTATTTGATTATTGTTTTACAACAATTTCAATTAGCAGAATGCTTACATAAACGGCTGTAAATTAATTTAATAATAAAAATAATTGAAAAACGCCTATTAAAAATTATTTTTTACCCCCAAAATAATCATCATTTTGATCACTATCCATAAAATTATTAATATTGGTATAGGTACAGGAAAATAATATATTTTAGGATACTGCGATAGAATGTAATGATTTAGAAACGTTGATGCAACAAAAAAAAATGTATATATAAAAATAATTTAATAATAAATAAATATTACTTATGAGTATTAGCTGCTAAAGCTGTCCGGATATAAAATATTTTTCTACTGATACTATGTAGATTCACGGAAATATTTCTCATATTAAGAGAAAACAATGATATGCCAAGATGACAGTAAGATACTGAAACAATTTTATTAATATACCAAATTAAAAAATGTCCTGCATAAAAATTTTGGCACTATATATAGTGTAAGAAATACACGCCAAAAAGTAGGTATTTTATAGATACCGGCAATTAACTACGCTGCCGCATAAATTTTGTGTATAAATAAAACATTGCATAATCCTCTTAGTCTATTGTTTTGTCCAAATCAAAGATTTCTATTGCAAATCGCTAAATATCCGCTTCGGGGTCAATTTAGTGAACGAAGCTAAAACTACTCTGTTATTATGTACTATTATATACATAACATACTAGTTTGAAATCTTACGTGGTTAAGTTAACACACATGTTTCAATAAACATATCTCGTCATCTTTAGATGTGGGTAATAAAATTGTAAAACTGTGTATTTTTAAATATATATACCGAAAATTATTGGCAATGAATAAATATATTTAAAAAAATCTAATTAATTTCATAAATGAAATACAAAAATCTTAATAAGTAATAGGCGGAAAATTAATTAATATAAGTAAAAACGCGTGCTTTTCATACACTAAGCAGACCCCAAATTCTAATAATATAAATTTTCGAAGTCTACAGAATTTACTTAATGAATTATTAAGTAACATGCCTGTCTTAAAAACGGTAAAAAACAAGTAGGTCGGAAGGTTTAGTGCAGATTTTGGTACCATGTCTACGGACGCCATAATTATTTTGCATACATAATTGCACATGCTTTTGTTATGACCTCGGTGGTGTAGCGATTTAGTATACCGCTTTATATCCGATAGTCGCGAGAGATTACTCGCACGGTACAAAATTTTTCTATTCATTAGTATGTTTCTATTGGTCTGGATGTTTTCTAATTCTATTATATGTACAAGTATTTACGTAAAAAATGCATTTAAGTCTTTCTATCAGTTTTAGTACCCATATCACAAGCTGCTTAGTTAAGGACTAGATGGCGCTGTTGGAGTTAGCCGCATTTATATATGTAGGTAGATACTAATATGTTTATTCACAATTATTAATTTTGTTTTCATTGGGGTCTTCTGTCTGGTGCTGTAAATATGATGGTAAACGGCCTTGCCTTTCGCCTTTGATTTTGTGAATTTTCCAACGGTGGCCTTGTAAAATTTTTCTGTAAAATATACAAATATTTTTTTTATATCATGATTTTTTATATTATTTATATACAGATTAGATGTAATGGGGTGTTCTTTTAATAACTTTGTAGCGGAAAGTAAGACAAAATATATGTTCTCATCAAGGGGTATTTTTAGTGTTGGTAATAGTGACCAATACTAGTAATGTGCCATATTAGGCCCACTTTCGCGTGGGTAGCTCTGAATACCATTGTGGTTTCATGTTTTTTAATGTCTACTTTTCATTTGTGATTATGAGTATATTTGGTTGTATTGGTCTGGATATTTTTTATGTAAATTATATAGTATATATAAAAAATATACATTTTAAAATATTTCTTAGCAGTTGTCATATATAGGATTTGTGACTGTCCTCACTAAGTTTAATAACTACTTTTCTCATAAGAATTATCTGTCATTTGATGTGAATTCATAAAAGTTTCTAATGGCAAAAAAGCTTTGTTTCCGTATTTGTGGTTTTACTTACTTGGTATTGAATTTTTTGAAACAGACATCGCATTTCACAGTCCCTTGTCGGAGATGTATGTCTTTTATGTGCCTTTTCATATCATGCTGATAAGAAAATGCTTTATCACAGTAGCTACACTGAAACAATTAAAAGTTAAACTATTTTATTTTAGAATTGCTAACAAGGACTGCTGTCAACAGAGCCGCTAGTTCATATTACCAGATTAAACTCCATTTGATCCTTTTTTGTCTAATTCCCAGTGTATTTGCTATGAAGGGACTACGGGCCTGGACTCAACTTTCATTAGTGTCATGCAAAACAGGCGTGATTAGTAGCATAGGATAATTTTTGTTTTGTTTCTAGACTAGAATACAGAAAGTAATATTTTGCTATGGAAGCTGTATAAAGGATAAGATATGTTAGCATAATTACACAGTTTGTAGATAATACCTCCACTTTATACATATAATTAATAAATATAATGGGATATTGCCACGTTTTATTTTTATTGAGTTATCGATAAAACGTGCTAAGATCCCATGATTTTTCCTAATTATACGTATACGTATGACGTTGGCGCTTACATGTAGACGTGTGACATTGACGATGCTCACACATATGGCAATAGTTACTATGTACTATCAGGACGGCCGTCAGCTTTTGCCACTACAATAAACTTATTGGATATAGTTATGCCTAATTATTATCATCTACTAACATAATGATAAGTACCTTATAAGGTCTAGTATTACTATGGACATGTCGCATGTGCTTAGCTAAGTTACTCGCTGTTGTGGTAGCCTTTGGACATTGCGTGCATTTATATGGCTTGTCGGTCATGTGTGACCTCTTATGTACTCTTAATAAATCCATTGTGCGACCTTTGTAGGGGCAAACTTCGCATTTGAATGGAAAAATGTTTTCATGTGTACCCCTGAAATAAAACAACTTTTATTCAGATATATAAAAAAAATGACAAAATTTATAGAGAATATACTATTAATTTATGTGTAAGTGAACATACGCGAAATAGCTAGCTTATAATAAAATTAATAAAATATATTTAACATACATGTGCACTAGTAAATTAGCATTTGAACAGGCAGTTTTTCCACACACATCACAAAGAAATCTTTTCTTGGTTACTTCCTCAGGGGGTTTTGGAGGCTTGGATACTTGTATATTGCATTTTTCTAAATGATTATTGTAGGTAGGCTGTTGAAATTAAAAGGTAGTAGTTAATATAGAGTTGATATAAATTAAATGGCGAGAGATAATAGAGAGAAACTAGAGCACACAATTTAAACACAGTCATAAACTAAGTTTTTTAAAAGAATATGATTGACTTTTACAAAAGTATCTCCTAAATCTAGGCCCAATATTATGGGAACAATTTTTAAAGACTATAGACAGGAAGACTAAAATTATAAATTTATATTACACCACAAAATTTAGCAGTATTAATTTAGTTTTAAAATAAATAAATGAGATAATTATTTAAACTATCTGCTAGAAATCAGAGAGATCTTTATTGTCCAATATTAAAATTAACTAACCAAATCATAAAACTCTTTGTTACAGTTCGAACATCTCCATATTCCTGAATTATCTTCTGAGAATGAAGGAGAAGGTATATTATATGAGTCTTCACTCTCGCCTTTTATTCCGTTTTCATTGTTATCAAATTCTGTAAATGTAAATTATTTCAAATATATAAATAATAAACATTAGGAAATTGTTAATTATCAGCATAGAATATTTTAATAAATTATATTAACTATTAATTTATTAATAAATTATATTAACTAAAATTTAAATTATTTATTTAGTATAATATTTGATAATTCAAAACATATTATCAAATGAATTATCAAAAATTATACTAAATAAATAAATATTTTATTTACAAAGATTTAATTATATACCTTGGTAATTGCCTATAAATCACATAAAGTGTTATACTCATCTTTTTATTGTATTTGAATTATCTCTTATTTTAATATTGTATAAGCAAGGTTAAATAGTTTAATAATAAAAAGAAATCAATTTACCTTTTTTTACAGACATTTCAATCATCTGCTTATTAGTCTTCTGACACAGATCTCTAAATGTTATGCACCCATTCAGCAGATCCAGGCAACTTTGACACATGTGTTTGGAAAAGTTGTCTGTATTGTTTACCTATGATTAAATTAATTGAGAACAATGTCATATTAAAATCTAACACCACAGTGTTATTCCAGGAAAAACTCAGGACCATTTAATCAACATTTATAAAATATTAGCTGTGTATGGAATTTGGTCTACCTTAAAGGATAGGATAGTTTTTATTGACCTTAGTATTAGAACACCTGCACCATAGCAATAAAGTGCTGGGGCAATTTTAGTAAAATATAAAATACAAATAGATAAGTTGGGATGGAAGTATACTATCAGTACATTTTTTTTATTTTAAGAATCTCATTAACCTTCTATCCACTATAATACTACTCAATACTATATAATTATGATATATTTTACTAATATTAATATCAACTTCAAAATCATTTATTTACTATATCAATGTTTTTATTCAGTCTGTCAGTTTAATGAATGTAGACAATAACAAACATATTAAACAACCTTCTATTGAATTTAACTATAGACTGACTATCAAGTCAGAATGTGGAGTTAGGGCTATTTTTTATTACCCATAATGTTAACAAACTAATAAAGAACAAACTTTATGCTACTAGTAATATTATTTTAAAAGCAATATGATTTTTTAATCATGAACTGTATTTTTAGAAGCTGATTGAATATGAAACTTTACTTCTTGAATTCAAAGTAAGCTAAACATGATAGTAGTTAACTTCTATATATTAATACAACTACAATTTCACTTACTGTAACACCAGAAAAATTTTTGATTTCTTCTGGAATATCTGGTTGTAGAAAATTATTGAAAATTGGAATATCTGCTCTTTCATGATTGCATATTCTGCACATATTTATTTTTTTCATTGAATGTCTGAAAAATACAAACTGTTTAATCTGCAGGAAGTGTCTAATGATGTGCTAATTATTGAATGAGTTCTCTTAATAATAATCCCAGATTTTTGTTTTTAAAATACCACAGTTAGTCTAATTAAAAAAATCATTGAAATATATGGGTATTTTATACATAATGTTGAACTTACTTCTTCAGTTTCTTCTTTTTCTTTTTGTGTTTAGACTGTAAAGCGTTTGCAAATAACATAGACTTTAATAATAGAAAAGAACTCATATTTATTTAAAACTTTTATTCCAAACCAAAATAATGCACCTTTATTATTAAAATAAGAGCAGGATTATTTATTTATTTATAAAGCTAAGCACAAACTTGAAATAATATTAAGTTAAGCGCTATAGCAAAACAAAAAATGTAGATAAATAATATTGAAATTGTCATAGTGACATGACAGTGTCACATAGTACAGATATGACTGATTTTTTTTCGAATGATTCTTATTAAATTATTCTAATTGGCCGCAGTTACGCTTCACGCACTAAGGATAATTAAAAAAATCCCCCTACATTGGAGCCATAGACTTGTATGATTTATATTTAATATATCAATGTCAAAATTGTTAAGACTGTGCATGTCTGTCTGTCACACAGAAATCAAACAGTATGTTCCTTGAAAAATAGAAACATAGTTCGAAATGAATTCGAAATTTTTATATTTTTAATAATTATTTTACTATTCTAGTGGTTATATTTCTGAACATTAATCGCTGGTTAATTTTGAGTATATCAATAAAGATTAGTCTTTCTAAATATTATTACTATGGCGGTATATGTGACTAAAAATATGTTAGTAAAATTAAACAGATTGAGCTATTCAACAAACTATGTAAACGACTGTGAGGGAAGCAGTAATACCAGTAATACTGACCACTGGGAAAAACTTAAAGATAGGTATTAATGATCAATTACATTTTAGTTTTCATTCGGTTCTGCCTGTTAATATAAAAGTAATAATACATAATCGGGGTTATGTTATAGTTACCTTTTTTTGTTATTGTTACTTTTCTTCGATAGTTCAAACTTACACGAACTAAATAAATATATACGATAATGAAACTAACATAACATTGTAAAAATTATTTATTCCAGCGAAAGTACTGAACGTTTATCTAAGGACATGATCTGTAGAGTTTGTGCTAAAAGTGGATGTACACCATTGACAGAAAAGATAAATGGATATGATATAACAAGTGCTATTCGCAGTATTACAAATGTTAATGTAAGTTAATAACATAATATAATATATAAGTCAATCAAACTAAACTATCTCCAAGATTAAAGAATGATTAAAACTGTAGTTAATAATAAACACTGATTGGTATTTACAGATTGAGCTCAGTGACTCTTTGCCTAAATATATTTGTACAGATTGTTTGGGACATTTGAAGACTGCCATGACTTTCAAGAGAACATGTGAAACATCTGATAGGAAATTTAGAAAAATATTAAATCCTATGGGTATTTATTTATATTATTACAGTTTGCTAAGTAATTAATTGTTGACTGATATTGTTAAGATTTATAGTTTAAATAATGTTGTATCAATAATAATAAATGAAGTGATTGCTGTAGATGGAGCATTCAAGCACTTGTATTCAACTCAGTTGTATTGTTGTACTTACTTATGATTGCAAATACTGTTGGTAATTGAATTGATTTATAGATGTGACTATAAACATACAATTTACCACAAGGACACTCGATAGCAATTTTCCCAAAATTTAATATTAATGTAATATAATAGTAATGATTTAAAAATAATTATATTATATATTATAAAATAAAACAGTATAAGTGAAATTATTTATTAAAATAGATAATTTTAATCTATAACACAATAGAAGAAATGTTTTCTGATTCTTGTATTGCTTTGTACAATAATTTCTGCCATTAGGTTTTACATATTCACTCTACTAATATTTGTGCATTTTAAACATTTTAGGTGATCCATCCATGCACTCATATCCATATTCTAAACATGATTTTCAATTGATTTTACATCAAATGAAACAAAAAAGAATCAACTATGAAGAGAAATTGGAAAAGCAACGAAAGAAAAGGGAGAGATTAGAACAAAAGAAAGTGCCTAAGATAAAGCAGTTTCAATGTTCACCTTGTGATATGACATTCCCAAATAAGGTAAAAATGACATACTCTTAGAAATCGTAATTCAGCAGGAATTAAATACAATGATTTATGTAGACTGCACAGAGGTTGCATGCTGGCCACACTTACCCTCTCCACCAGAGATACTGGAAATATAATATATTCTGATTCTTTGGCCTGTAATCAGCTCTGTTTCAGCATTTCAGCTCTCATCGGTATTTCTGATATTTACTAGATTCTTTGTATATGTGGTTTTTTTTGTTTCAGGAGAAACTGATACTTCACCGACGTGAGAGACAGTGCATGCGGCGTGCCTGTGACGTATGCGGGCAGCTGGTGTTGAGCATCACACAACACATGCGACACATACACAAGCAGACTGTGCGTCACAAGTGTTCCACTTGTGGCAAGGAATTCCCAATTATTGCTCGACTTAAAAATCACATGTATGTTATTTCATATTTTTGTTTTTTCATTTGATGACTAATTTTAATCTATTTTATATATTAGAGTTTAAAAACTCAAGGTTAAAAAAATATTTTAGTATTATTATCTGTCTGTAGGTTTGTGTGTGAAAATCTTAGAAGCAGTTAAAATGCAGAATTCACTGATGTATACTATACTATATGTATACTGTTTCTGTTTACATTTAATATTTGTTTTATTCCAATTGGTTCACAAATAAATCAATAAAATGTTATAAATATGGATAAAGTGTTTCTATTTGGTAATCTAACAATATGGAGACACTGATGTTAATATTATTTGCAGTAGATTGTATCACACATAGGTTACCTTTTATTTAAAAAATTAGAGTGAGTTGATTTCACTGTTCGAAACAAGTTAAATATTATGTTTATTTTTAGGCTGGTCCATACAAATACATTCAATTTCTTTTGTGACCTCTGTCCATATAAATGCAAGCACAAATACTACCTTGTGATGCATATGCGCACACACACCGGGGAGAAGCCTTACAAATGCCAACAGTGCCCAGCTACATTTGTGAACCCCTCTAATTTAAATAAACACAAACTGACACATCGGGAAAAACAATTTAAGGTAAATAATAATTATTTACTGGAACTGAACTGACTAGCGACCCATTGATAGTAAGTGGCAAACATCATGGATAGAGATGAACAGCACCACTAAATTGGCCATATGTATTATGAAGCACATGGTATTCCTTATGCCTTGACATTCCTGGAGGCTAATGTGTCCTGCATCTGCATCCTGTAAATTCATTACCTTGTCACCCTTCAAAATGGAATACTTAGCAACCCAAATAGTTGAAACAGACTCATGCAGACTTTATACAAACCCTACTTACCTTTACTTCTGTTATTATTGGTATTGGCGTGGGTATTTCACCCGCTCAGTAGCTTACTCAGTGAGCTGTGGTTCGAGTGTTCAAAGTGATTAGGTAGTGAAATTACAGGATAAGAGGCATGACATCACAATCATAGGTGTCACATGTTAATGTGATATCCATACACAGTGCACACACATTCATCTGTTCGTATTATTTTTTTAATAAAATAATCCTTTTTTGCTATATTAAAATAGTATGAAATATTGCAAAAATGTATTTAACAAAATACCTAAAACAAATAAATTTTATTTCATAAATGAGCCAATTGCTTTTGCATGGCAGTTTGAATGGCACCTACATCGAATCTATTTTTTTTTTACGATCTGACATTATTCTCTATCGTAGACTCTCGTTCCTGACACATTCCATCCTCTTCATTAAAACATAAAGATTTTTTTTAAACCAATAGCGATAACCTGGTAAGAAATAGAATAGAAAATCATTTATTCAAATAAACTTAATTTAAGCACTTTTGAATAGTCGTTCGGAAAGCTGTCTCATCACAAGAAGAACGAGCAAGAAACTTGTGTGTTGCTCTTTTAAATTCCAATTACATATATAAAAGAAATTCTACTGACTGTTAAAAATAATTGGTTAAATTCTTTCAGTGTATGTTGTGTGAGAAAGCATTCCGGACGAATACGGCGCTAAGGGAACACCAAGAAGCTACACACTTGCACATCAAGCACACATGCAACTTCTGTGGCAGGGATTTCTGTTATAAGTTCGTATTATTTTTTAATAAAATAATCATTTTTTGCACTATATTAAAATAGTATTAGAAATATTGCAAAAATGTATTTAACAAAATGCACCCATATTCTTTTAAGCAATTTCTGGCAAACAACCTTTATTCCTACTCTTTTTTTTTAATTTTAACGTTGTACTAACCCAAGACCATTCTACTCTAAAACAAATAAATTTTATTTCATAAATGAGCCAATTGCTTTTGCATGGCAGTTTGAATGGCACCTACATCGAATCTATTTTTTTTTTACGATCTGACATTATTCTCTATCGTAGACTCTCGTTCCTGACACATTCCATCCTCTTCATTAAAACATAAAGATTTTTTTAATGCCATTAACTAAACCAATAACGATAACCATTATTAATGATATTTTTTTAAATTAAGGGATACAACTTACTAGCTCTGCCTGAAACTTACGCATGAAATTTATAGCCTACGTGTTAATCTGATGTATAAGCTATATCACTGTATAGTTTCATCAAAATTCGTTAAATAGTTTCTGCTTGAAAGAGTAACAAACGTCCATCCACACTCACAAACTTTCAAATTTAAAATATGAATAATTAATAAGATTATTAATTTCTTATTACTTCTACATTCAGATCAGACCTTCGCAAGCACGAAATACGAAATCACAATCGTATGAAGCGTGATTACATCGGCGGCGAACCAAGTTACAAGCAAGTAGAAAGGATGCAGAAATTGCAGGAGAGCGAAGATATTGGCAAGTGGCGTATACAAACCGTAGACGAGACAACAACCGGTCCTGTAGTGCAGGCCACATACATTGATCAGAACCTACAAACTACACACTCTATGTACTTCTCTGACGTCAATGGAATTATACAACAACAGCCTCAAATGGGTAAGCAATTTCTTTTGTTAATCTGCATGGTTATAATTAGTTACCCATTGTTAGATCTTAACATTTCTGCCAATTTTCACTTTTTTCACAGCATTGTGATGGGTGGATTGTAAGTGGTGTCTTTTAAGGATAAGTTTGTAATTAGTATTATTACTGTATCTAAAGGTCGAATAAAGAATATATTATTTTGTGTGTCCAAATATCATAGACTGGTCTTCATGGAGAAAACATCGAATCGTCGTTCGATTAAAAAAAATATATCGTATCAATGTTCTCTATTCCGTCTATCACTAGTCTAATGACGAAAACAACATACTTTTGTTCTCATTTATGCTCAAAATCCTGTTCTTAGGGGTTGCTATGAGGCTATGCCATTGAGGACACGTATATTATATTTAATAAATTTAATGTGTGTATATTTTTTCTTCCAGTTCAACAGCCGACTGTACAGTTGTCATTGTAAGTAACATTTTAATAAAGAGCAGTATATTTTTAATTCAGAAAATGCGATATTGTTTATTATTTTTACTGAACTTATGAATTATGTCCATTATAGATGTTTAGTATAATTAAATGCTCCTTGCTATAATTTTTACGACTAAATAATATTATAATATATAGTTATTGAACTCTTATTATTGTCGACTTAAAGTCGAAATTGATTAAGAAAGATTTGTTATTACTAAGTATATATTTTGTTACATAAAATATATTTTTTTATTTCATATAGGCCGGAGCTGGAAATGAAGAATGAAGTGAAAATTTACGATGCGCAGCAAGGAATTTATTTTTAAAATGATATATAATAGAACTCATTACATTATAGCGGTAAGTATCATGTTATAATTTGATAACATGTAAGTATCATGTTAATATTTGCCTTTTCACTTTTTATTTGTGATATATAAATCTAAATAATACTTTTACAAAATGTAACTACAAAATATATATATAGCCTTAAATCTACATTTATTATTTTATTACCAATTTCCCAAATAAACCTTCCTTTTTTTTACAAAGTTGTCCATGTGCGTTTAGCAGATAAGAGATGCGACGACAGTAGGTATAGTCTCCGCCTAACTATTTAAATAGAGAGAAGCGACGCCTGGCACTTATAGTGCCAAACTGATTCAGGGGCCGCTCTACCCCTGTATGATAAGTGTGGTGCAAACAGGCAACAGAAGCGTCTCATCATTGAATAATATGGACTTACTTATTGATGAGTCAACAATTTCCCAGGCAGTGTAACAACACAAGTGAAAACCTTTAGCAACTTCTTTCAAGAAGCCCATGGCTTGGTTTCGTTTCCTACGTTTTTAAGAAATAACTTCTAAAACAAATCTCATTTTCTAATGAAAAAAAAAACATTTTTGTGTGTGTGCGCGCTGGGCTACGTATTTCGCTAAGTCTCAGTAGTAGGCCTAGATACTGCGTAGTATGATAATCCGCCTGTATATGGCACCTCTTTTCTTGTCGACGTGAAAATGGTTTTTATTTATATTTTTATAATTGTAAATACGAGTATGTTCGTCATTCGGGTAGAAGGTCTAATATTCATGTACATTTAAAAACTATGATGTGCAAGCGTTATTAAATTTATTTAAAAAAATTCAATATAATACACAAGTTGCGCCCGCGGTTTCTCCTGCATGTAATTGATAGTTCATATGTTAATCTGATGTATAAACCATATCACTGTAAACTTTTATCAAAATCCGTTCAGTTTTTTCAGTAGTTTTTGCGCGAAAGAGTAACAGATACTTATCCATTCATACTCATAAACTTAAATCTTAAATCGAGTTTATAATAATATAGTAAGATTACTACCCTATAAAAACTGTAAATCACCATTAAGTAAACTACTAAACTAGTATTGTAAAAACAAAATTAAAAATGATAATAGTAATATTTATATCCACAAAAAAAAACATTGTCACAAAAAAATAAACTATATAAAACAAAACAAATATTTTTGAGGGTATACAGTTAAAAATCGTTACCTCCCGTGCTAGTTAGATAACTAAAAAATGCAAATAGTACTTGCATTTTTAATTTCCATTTTAATTTGAACATATCTGGGTATAGTTATATTAGGTTTCATCTCACTTATTCTATGGATATCTCTGTGATAGTCACTTCAGTTTCACTATATCTATACAATTTCAGGTGCTAATTTACATAATCTTCATCTTTACATATAATAAAATAGTAAAATCGTGACGAGGCGAAAACTCTGATAAGCTTTCACCTAAAAACAACTGGAGCAATAAAAAATATATTTTCACAGAATACGTTGTTAAATGTGGGTCACCATACAGGCAACAAGGAAAATTATCCTTCAAATAATACCTTTTTTTCTTATTAATTTTAAATAATAAAACATTATGAAAGAGTATATACTCATTCATAATGTTTTATTTATCCATATGGATAAAGATATTTTGATTAATTTATTCATGATTGATTAAATTATTACGCAGATAATTCTGTCTACCGTTAGTTAGAGGTAGTTTCTAGCCAAGAAGAACAGATTAATATAATAATGAATGGCGTTGTATATAGATTTTACTATAGTATACGGTCTCATATGACTTACGTGAAAGACAGCCTTAGTAATGGAAATTATTGAATAATAATAGTACTATATATCTAAAATCAATAATAGAATTGTTATTAACGTAGGTATCCTAGCAGAGCAACTTTCGCGAGCTCATTCCGTACCTACTGTAGTCGTGAATTTCTGGTGAATGCGCCACTATGAGCTCAGTGACCTATTTCATCCTCTTTCCATCTTTCACTTTGCCCTACCGGCATACACCATTACGCAGACGGGATCACCATTCATTCATTTTATAGGTATCTAAAATCTTTTAATAAAATGCGACTATTTTCGCCTAAAAATGTCAAGTTAACCAAACGCATGTTTGCGTCGCTTTGAATTATATGACTCAATTGAGAAAGCTTGTGATTGAAAAATTTTAAATAGGTTGAAACTGATACTTTACTCTATAAATATCTACATATATTTACCATTTTAGAGCTCAATCGTTGTAATTAATATTAAATCTGTAATGATAGGTACGCTATCTGGCAGCATGTAAAGACTGTAAAAAAATAGGGTGTAAAAAATGTGTGTTACTATTTAAACACTAAGCAATCAGGATTCTTAACACAATAGACAATATTCATTTTGTGTATGCTCGCCTGGCATGGCAGATATTGGTAGTACGAGGACTACCGGCCCCATCGCTAGCGATGAAGGCTATCAGATTCTGAATTGACACTGGAAAATACCGTGGTAAAATTCTAGCGATTCGCTTCTATGGTCTAACTGACCTGACATCCTATTCCTATTAGCATTAACCAGTGACCCGGCAGCGATCATGCAATATATATACTCCAATACCGCTTCAATTTTGATGATCCTTATTGCACATAATAGTTTTTCCTGTTTGTTACCTACATATAGGCATACATTTTGTATAATCGACTATTGGATATTATATACTCACAAATATTCCAATGATACCGTACTAAATAGGTATCAACTTGTTAGAAGTTTGCCCCGCTGTCACACCCTTTCGTCGTACTTTCGTTGTTAACTCGTTCACGTTGTGTTTTACATATGTGACTAATTGCGTAGGTTGTCAACCTTGTCTCATTGAATATTCATTTCCTTACGATGCCTTAGCGCCGAACCTAATTTACTAGCTCGGACAGCAAAGACCGCAATTTCAAACTTCGCTTGTGTTACAATTTCAGAATTGAACGGAGTTTTAAGAAGAGTTTGACGATTCTTTTTTTATAGTAAAAAATAAAAGAAAAGCTGACCAGAGCAGATTCATACGAAAATTATAACAATATATTTACATTTGCATGAATAAAATTTTAATATACGTATATTTTTCCCAATGCATTGACCATATTTAGGTATTAATCATCATCAACCTAGATAGATACATAAGTTGTCTCATATCTGTTCAGTGATCAATATTTCTTATACGATCTTAAAAACCTTTGAAAGACGTCTTTCTTTAGATAGTATAAATGGAAATCGAGGGTGAGGCTGTTACGCAAACAGTAAGCTTGGGGCTATTTGCCATTCGCTTATCAGGCCGCTGCGTATACCTAAGTATAGACATTAGCTACATCGCGTAGATTTCTGATTCGGAAATTCTAAATTTAATTAAAAAGGCTTTTGAAAGATAGTCTGAAAATTTAATTAAAAATGTCAATTCAGATTTTAAACGAATTTTTAATTACGATAAAAATAGATATTTTATTTGTTTCAGCTCATACTAAAGAAATATTTTTAAATCATCAATGATCATCTTTCAAATATAGATATGCATAACCCAAAAATATTAGATACATTTAAATACATAAATTGGATGTTTTGTTACAGTCTTAATATGTTGTTTACTTAGTTAACTACATGTAAACGGCAAGACATTCGAAGTTTGTAAAGTTTAGTTTTACTTAATTTTGAACCTATCTACTATTACTTATTTTTTTGTCTGTCTGAATCAATTTTTTATCAAAATTATGAACTTAATAATTTTGATAAATATATAATATCTTGTTCTGATTCTTTATTAATTACAAAATATACATAATTTAGAAATCAATTAGGTATGTGTTAAACAAGCTTGTTTACAATATCGCATATAATATTGAGTACGATAGAAAATTATATCTCATTGGAACCTCGAGCATGCTTACCTACGTTGTATTTAAATAGGGACTCTATTCATCTGGAATATCAAAGGGAAACAAAGGAAACTGTCCGCTTTGTTGAGTTTTGTATTTGTCAGGTGAAGATCTGTGATTAATGAAAAGCCTGTATGAATTTCACTCCGCTTCAAATTCTCTTTTATTGTAATGTGCAATTATTCTTTCTCACTGCTGAACATAGGTAAGGTTAAATATATTTTTTGTTTGCCCGGCAATGCATATATACAAACTACACTATATATTCCCAAAGAAGTTCTTTAATAATAAGTCGGCTTGGGGGATACCATTCTACAAGATAGAATAAAAGTTTTCGTTCCCATTTTCCTCTGCTGATGCCCAGTCAGCATACTGCACTCCATTCCAAAGCTATACATTAAAAAAAGGTCTTAGAACGAACATGGATGAACCAATAAAATAAGGTCCAACTGTCATATCCTTTCTATCTATAATATGGTTGATATTGGTATAGTGTTTCCGAGTAGAACTAATAATGGGAATACGAGGCTCGAAGTTGTCGACGAGTTATGTATACCTTGAACTTGTCAGGGTGAGTAAATCCAACTTAGCCTGATCTTGTGGAATTAATTGTCGATTACATTGTATACCTAACTACTATGCTTTTACCTTTATATAAGACTATGAGTATATTCTCTATAGGTACCTACTGTTTGACCGGGGTAAAAATTTTTGTATTGCTGCGTCGCACAACTGATTTTAATTTGAACATCTATTTTGTTTTTTTTTCTGTTTAACTTTATTTCTATTGCTATTATGTGCGCACAGAAGATACACATAAATCATTGTTCTTCTATATATGGATTTAAGTTTTAAGTATTATAACCATTTCATTAGTGCTTAAGGTTAAACAGGTTACAAACAACTTAATCTACTATAGAAACGTATTTGTACTATATTTATTAAATATTTGTACTATAGGATAGTAATTATATGTGTGGTAAATAGTAGGTACTGATTATAAGGTATATAATCAGTATCTACTATTTACCACACATATTAGTATATGTGTGGTAAATACGAGAAATAATCAAATAATTTCAACATTGACACCTAACTACATTACAATAATAGCAGTATCGCAATGTTGTTA